CATTTGTCCGGTAGGCGCATGCGAAAGCAGCCACTGGGCCATCGGTGGAATTCCCTATGGGGCCACGAAGCGTGTGAGGGGCGTGCCGAAATAGGTGCGGTGGGCGCATGCGAACGCAGCCGTTGGGGCCGTCGGTGGAGCTCCCTGTGGGGCCGTGAAACACATGATGGATGTTTCGACATGTGTGCGGTGGGCGCATGCGAACCCAACCACTGGCGCCTTCGGCGGAGCTCCCTGTGGGGCCACGAAACGTGTGAGGGGTGTGCCGACATGGGTTTGCGTGACGCATGCCGGCAGTGGCACTGGGGCCTTCGGCAGAGCTCCCTATGGGGCCACGAAGCGTGTGAGCGGCGTGCCGAAATGAGTGTGCGTGACGCATGCGGGCTGCGCCACTGGGGCCTTCGGCGGAGCTCCGTATGGGGCCACGAAACGTGTGAGGGGTGTGCCGAAATGGGTGTGCGTGACGCATGCGGACTGCGCCACTGGGACCTTCGGCGGAGCTCCCCATGGTGCCACAAAACGTGTGAGGGGTGTGCCGACATGGATGTGCGTGACGCATGCGGGCTGCGCCATTGGGACATGCGGCGGAGCTCCCTGTGGGCCACGAAACGTGTGAGGGGTGTGCCGAAATGCGTGTGCGTGAAGCATGCGGGCTACGCCACTGGGACCTTCGGCGGAGCTCCCTATGGGGCTACGAAACGTGTGACGGGTGTGCCGAAATGCGTGAGGGTGACGCATGCGGGCTGCGCCACTTAGACCTTCGGCGGAGCTCCTATGGGGCCACGAAACGTGTGAGGGGTGTACCGAAATGGGTGTGCTTGACGCATGCGGGCTGCGCCACGTAGTCCTTCGGCGGAGCTCCCTGTGGGCCACGAAACGTGTGAGGGGTGTGCCGAAATGGGCGTGCGTGACGCATGCGGGCTGCGCCACTGGGACCTTCGGCGGAGCTCCCTATGGGGCCACGAAACGTGTGAGGGGTGTACCGAAATGGGTGTGCGTGACGCATGCGGACTGCGCCACGTAGACCTTCGGCGGAGCTCCCTGTGGGCCACAAAACGTGTGAGGGGTGTGCCGAAATGGGTGTGCGTGACGCATGCGGGCCGCGCCACTGGGACCTTCGGCGGAGCTCCCTATTGGGCCACGAAACTTATGAGGGGCGTGCCGAAATGCGTGAGCGTGACGCATGCAGGTTACGCCACTGGGACCTTCGGTGGAGCTCCCTGTGGGGCCACGACACGTGTGAGGGGTGTGCCCAATTTGGTGCGACGGCGACGATGATGGTGATGATGACGATGATGATATTGCTGTTGTTGATGATGCCGATATCGATGATGATGCTGATGATGTGGGTGATGATGATGAGGATGAGGATGAAGATGATGATGACGATGATGATGATGACGATGCTGATGCTGATGATGATGATGATGATGATGATGATGATGATGATGATGATGATGATGATGACAAGATGAGGGAGGGGGCAGCGGGAGGAGTGAGACGCGGGGCAAAATGTTTTCAACACAAGGACCCAACACCACAGGATGCTTAGGAACAAGGAAACTGTATTCTCCGTCACGTGCACCACGTGGTCTCTCAGAGCTCGACGCTGGCGTGCCAATTCTACAGATCTGAGTGCCGCCACTGATGCCGGAAACAATGGAGGAATAACGGTTGCGGCCTCCGTCCCCGGCAGTTGAGATTCAGCGTCGGCATGTTTCTCTTTACTGGCAGCGATCTTGGTGTGGACCTCGTGCTCGTTGCGATCGGCAGTCCCTTTGTCACCGGCCCGATGTGGAGGCGTGTACCCCGCGCTGATTTGAGGATGAGATTGGCGCGGAAGCCCTTGAAGCACAAGATTTGGATGGACGAGTCCTCGAGCCAGAGCCTCGAACTGGAGCTCTGTTGTCGTCGCAGGCTCCATGGAGGTGGAACAACAAGGAGAGAAGGGCGAACTGCGCGTCGCCAAAAAAGGCACTCGTTTGTGTCGTCCGCTGTGCCATCCATCCGCCGAGCTACCTCATGCCGAGTGCGTGCCATCCCTGGAGCGGCAGCCTTCCGCGCTGCTCGGGCGTTGCGTATTGGGGGGGGCGATAAATGGGGGGGTGAAGAAAGGTGCTGCGTCGCCCAGGCCTGGGCGCTGTCCCCGCTGGGACACGCCGTTCGGCGGCAAAGCTTCCGCGTGCCGCGGCGGCACTTCCGCGGCCTCCGTGGGGCGAGGGGCAGCAGCGAGGGAGGCGCACAGGCGGGCGGGAGTGGATTGAAGCGCAGCGGCAAGAGGCCGGCCGTCGCGGGCCCGCTTTTGAGGCAGGCAATGGTCTGAGCTGGCGCTGGGGGAGATGGGGGCGGAGGGGGAGGAGGGGGGCGAGGGAGTGGGGGAGCGGAGGGGAGGATGGCGGCAGAAGAGGAGGCGAGGAGGGGAGGGATCTGCTTGGGAGGGAGAGGAGACACCGGGAGGGCGTGGCCGGGAGGGAGGACAAGGGCGCATCCTCCTCCCCCTCCTCCTCCTCGTCAGCACCAGCAGCAGCATCGTCTTCATCCTTGTCTTCGCCCTCCCCCTTCATGCTCCTCCTTCCTCCCCGCCCGCCTCCTTAACATCATCCCGGGTCGTCGCCTTCGATTCGGCACGGATGGGGGGAGCTTTTAGCTTGATGTTGGCGTTTTTGCTTCAGGAATGAGGAGGGAAGGATCGAGGCTCGAGGTTCGACGTGCTCCTTCTCCTCCTCTTCCTCCTCTTTCTTACATGTCTGTCGGGACCTGTAGCTGAGCGTCTCGAACCGCCAGTTCTGGCCCACACGTTATCCACGCCCTCATTTCCAAGAGTCAGTGTCCCGAGTTCTTCCCACCCTCTCAGCACCCGGAGCGGAGCGACACCCTATCCGCTCGCAGGGCACGGCGTGTCGCCGGGGCCACCGCGGCGACACGCTAAGCAGACGTTCCTGACCGTTCTGCACCTCCTCGTCCCCCTCCTCCTCCCTTTCCCCCCTCGCCGCCGAGTCCCGCGCGGTACCGCGCGCCCAGAGGAGACCAAGCGCGAGACCAACGTCCTCGGGTACGGCACCGGCCTGAAGCGCCGCCTCCGCGTCGAGTCCCAGGACGCCCGAGCGCCTGAGGAGGAGGAAAGGAGGAGGAGGAGGAGGAGGAGCAGGAGGGGGAGGAGGAGGAGCAGGAGGAGGAGGAGGAGGTGGAGGAGGAGGACACCGTCGGCCTGTACAGCCTTCAGGGTGGATGGCCCCTGTGTTCGGGAGGGGCCTGGGGCTCGCGTTCCCAGCAGAAGACCGCGCGGACGGAGCGGCACTTGCCACCACGTCGCCCGCTCCAGAAGGGGCCTCGCCCTCGACGCGTCTCGCCCTCGGCAGCAGGCCGGCGGAAGTCAAACAGCAGCGGGCCCGCCGGCCAGCGGAAGTCGACTACACGTAGGAGTGAACTTTCGCCAGAGTGACCGATGGTGCGGGCTCAACGGGGCCCCCCCGATCACCGAATGCGAGGCGATAGCAGCGGCTTGCGAGCCTGGCGGTGTCCCCAGCAGGCCCCCCGTGGCCGCGCACTTCAGGTCACCGTTGCCTAGGGTCACTCTTGCGCGTAGCCGAGCAAGGCGGCGGAAGCGAAAACGAGACGTCAGAACGTCTTGGTTCAGGGCTTCTGGAGCCGGTCATGTCTTGGCACGTTGCAGGCCGTGGCAGACACCAACGTGTTCGGAACATAACAGACACTAGTAGTATGTCGGGGTTGTTCATGGAGCCGCTGTGCGATAGAACAAGTGGCGAGGCAGCAACTTGCACGGTGTAATTATCAATCACAACACGCACTGCAATGATTGGCACAGCGTTTTGTGCAACGCGCTGCGCCCGAATTCCCAGCAAGCACCGGGTGGGCGAGGCAGTGCGGAATTGATTGTCAACGGCCTTTCTGTGATACCTCGCGTGCTTGTGGTGCCTGGGAGGTCTCTGTCCAAGAGGGCACCTTGTTGGCGCCAATCACTTGACAATACGTTTAACCAATCGTGTGACATTCCAGTGAGGGTGGAGGATTGAGTGGGCTTGAAATGTGGTGAGGTCATAAGCTAAGGGGAGTATGAGTAGGGCAGGGCAGAGCGGGCTGGTAGCTAGGTAGCACGAAAGAGTGCGATTGCATATGTTGGTGCACCAGTGGCGCGAGAGGGGGAGAGTGAGGGTCAGTGGCCAGCATCGAAGCCAATTCGCGGGAAAGGCAGTCCAGCTTTTCGTCACATGGGCAGAGGGTGTAGCATCGAAGCCTTATTCAGGCAGAGCTCTGGGGAACACAACATTTTCAGGCCACGATCGTGGGACAGCCCCTCGAGGAGGAGGAGGAGGAGGCGGAGGAGGAGGAGGAGGAGTATGAGAAGAAAAAGAAGAAGAAGAAGAAGAAGAAGAAGGACGACAACGGGGAGAAGGAGGAAGAGCAGGAGGGGGAGGGGGGAGAGGATCGAGGATAATCGTTTAGTGCGTCTTGGCACTTTTGGGGGGCCTCCAGAGGCCTCAGGGAGGCATGCGGGGACCTCCATAAGCCTCTGGTGATTTGGTACTGAAACTTCGGCAGCCCTCTGGGGACCTCAGGAGAACCCCTGGGGAGAGAGAGAGAGAGAGAGGAGGAGGAGGCACGGATCCACAGGTATTGCGGCTGTGCTGGCCGCAATCATCTGCCGTCTGGCCTCCTCGACTTTACTGTGAGCCTTTGCCCCGCCCCCTTGCGACGATTCTGGGGACATTATCATTTTCACTATCCTGAACAGCCGTCACTTCAAAGCGTTACCCCAGGGTAGTGGGAAGATGCCGATTTCGTTGCTCCCGGGCTTCTCCCCAGGTGCGTTCTGACCAGGATTTCTATGCGAGTCCAGCCGTAGCGACAAGGGACGGCTAGAGTTAGCGGTATCTCTTCCTCCTGTGCCATCCTCCACCACTTCCAGATGCGCAGACCCAGAGCATCTAGCGAGGGTAACCGGACGCTTTCTCACCGCGGCCGCTCTGGCCCGTGGCGAGGCCGCCAGGCAGGCGCCGCCTGGCCCCGCGCCCATCCAGGCATGCGTGCCAGCCCGCGGCCGAGGCCAGCGCCGCCAGCCAACGGCCGATGGGCCGTGGCAAGGCTGGGCCCAAGGGGATCCAAACAATCCGCCGCAGAAGTATGCGATTCGGTGCGATTCGATTCACCGATCGGAGCCGAGATCCTGATTCGTTTCGCTTCGGTTCCATTCATTGGCATCGGCCAGGACCAGCCAGACCAAGGCGCGGCCATCCGATTTCGATTGGATTCGGGACGGGTCGTTGGCGATCCGATTCGATTTCGCGATTCGATCCAGTTCAGGCATGGCTATCCCTCCTCTCCTGGCTTCCTCGCGCCGTGAAAGCAAGGACATGGTGGGCGGTTTGGGGGCCAGTTCTGGGAGCCCCTGGGGCCGCGACCAGACGACTCGGGATGTAAGGTTGGTCCCGGAGAGGAAGGTCTCAGACCTCGTCCACGCCTTGGAAAAACTAACACGGCGCTGGAGGTTTGGGCCTCTTTGGCGATTTGCACGCGTGGGGCAGGGGGAGCGGGGCGGCCTTGAGAAAATCCAGGCCTCCTAGATAAGGTCCGAGTAGATGGGGGTAGGAGGATCGCGCCACATCGCCGATGCATCGCCGATGCGGCTCGATGTGGAGGCCAGTTTTCTCCGCGCTGGCGTCGCCGATGCACCGCCGACGTCGCCGATGCATTGCCGATGCATCGGCGATGCATCGGCGATGCGGGGACGGTCCTCCGACCCCATCTCCTCGGACCCCATCTAGGAGGCCTCTAGAGAAGGCCGTGGGCTTCCTAAAAGGCGAGCGGCCCCCGGGATGAGCACACGCCACAAGCCATCTGGATGTGACGAACGTATGCAGTTGTGTTACCTGTTTATGTTTGCCAGTAATAGTAAGATCATCCCACAAACTATATCCTATACGTATACATCAATATGTATGAGCATGCACATATGTGAACTCATCCGTATGTTTAGACATACTATGTGAACATTTGTGTACATGTACGCATAAGAAACAGGTGCACTCATAACAAACAAAGAAGCGCCGCACGCCCTCCGGGAGGTGGCCGTCCTCCTTCACAGGTGGGCGCCAGCCTTCCCTGCTTATCAGGTTCCCGTCCTTCAAGGGTCAAGTCGGCACGGGAGAGGGGAATGCGGGTGGAACTTTTGCTTAGTGCGCCGCGCCGCCGGTTCTTGCCCACCACGCTTCGGCGCGACACGCGATCAGCGTTCGTTTCCAGTCCTCCAGTGCGACGCGTTTCCCGCTTCGAATGCAACCTCCAAGAGGGCACGATGTCAGCGTTTGGAGCACGGCGTGTCGCAGGGACGGATGCTACGACAAGCTGAGCAAAAGTCTGTGCCGCAGCATCGGCTCCTGCACACCAGGGCAGCGGCAAGGGCCCGCGGAAGGGCGGCGCCGGCAAGGGCAAGCGGAAGGGCGGCGGCGGCAAGGGCAAGCGGAAGGGCGGCGGCGGGCCCCCCCGCTCGGGTGCCAGCCGGGGGAGCTTCGCGGAGCGCAGGCCGACATATGCAGGCGGGCGGGGCACAGAGGGGTTGGGGCGTGGCGAGGGCGGGCGGCCTTCCAGGGCCCGACGTTCTTCACCTCTCTCTTGGGCCTCCTGGAGGGTCCTCGCGGCCGCTGCCAGGCGCAGCTCGAAAGGTTGACCGGGGGTAATCTGTGAGAGGGCGTGCGTTGCCCGGTGGTGGGGCGAGCCGGGAGCGGCCCTGTGAGAAAGCATGAGGGCTCCCAGAAGGGAGCCGTGGCTTGAAAGATCGGGGGGCGTCGACAGACCACAGCACCGATCCGGGCTGGGCCCAGCCTGGGCCCAGGATCGGCGTCCGCATGACCTCCTCACGGCTCGGCCAGATGGGCGAGGGCACCGACCCTGGGCCCAGGATAGGCCACGCAGGACTGGTGAGGTGGTCCGTTGACGCCCCCAGACAGGAGGGCGACCCTGCAGAAGGCTGGAGGTCCCCAGAGATCTCCAGAGGTCCCCGGGAGCTCAAGGAGGTCTCCAGAAGCCTCCGCGGGCCTCCACAAGCCAGATACTGGCCTGGCGAAGGGCCCAACCATATGCAGCTGCGAGTGCCGCATTGTGGGTACCGCTTTCGGTGGAGCTCCCGTGCGAGGGGTGCGCCGCAATCGGTGGCGAGGACGCATGTGGACACCGCCATTGGGGCCTTCGGTGGAGTTCCCTATGGGGCCACGAAGCGTTGTCCTGGGTGGCGTTGACGCATGCGGACCTGCCGCTGGAGCTTTCGGTGGAGCTCCCTATGGGGCCACGAAGCGCTGTCCTGGGTGGCGTTGGCGCATGCGGACCCTGCCAATGGAGCCTTCGGTGGAGCTCCCTCTGGGGCCATGGAGCGCTGTCCTGGGTGGCGTTGACGCATGCGGACCCTGCCACTGGAGCCTTCGGTGGAGCTCCCTATGGGGCCACGAAGCGCTGTCCTGGGTGGCGTTGACGCATGCGAACGGTGCCACTGGGGCCTTCGGTGGAGCTCCCCATGTGGCCACGAAGCGTTGTCCTGGGCTGGGGAGACGCATGCGAACGGTTCCACTGGGGCCTGCGGTGGAGCTCCCCTTGGGGCCACGGAACGCTGCCATGGGTGGGGGAGACGCATGCGGACCTTGCCCCTGGGGCCTTCGGTGGAGCTCCCTATGGGACCACGAAGCGCTGTCCTGGGTGGCGTTGGCGCATGCGGACCCTGCCACTGGAGCCTTCGGTGGAGCTCCCTATGGGGCCACGCAGCGCTGTCCTGGGTGGCGTTGACGCATGCGGACCCTGCCCCTGGAGCCTTCGGTGGAGCTCCATTTGGGGCCACGAAACGCTGTCATGGGTGGCGTTGGCGCATGCGGACCCTGCCGCTGGAGCCCTCAGTAGAGCTCCCCATGTGGCCACGAAGTGCTGTCTTGGGTGGCGTTGACGCATGCGGACCCTGCCCCTGGAGCCTTCGGTGGAGCACCCTATAGGGCCACCAAGCGCTGTCATGGGTGGCGTTGGCGCATGGAGACCCAGCCGCTGGAGACTTCAGTGGAGCTCCATTTGAGGCCACGAAGCGCTGTCCTGGGTGGCGTTGACGCATGCGGACCCTGCCCCTGGAGCCTTCGGTGGAGCACCCTATAGGGCCACGAAGCGCTGTCCTGGGTGGCGTTGGCGCATGCGGACCCTGCCAATGGAGCCTTCGGTGGAGCTCCCTCTGGGGCCATGGAGCGCTGTCCTGGGTGGCGTTGACGCATGCGGACCCTGCCACTGGAGCCTTCGGTGGAGCTCCCTATGGGGCCACGAACCGTGTGAGGGGTGTGCCGAGAAGGGTGGGATGATGATGACGGTCACGACGACGATAGGCGGATGTGAAGAGGGAGGAGGGGGCGGGGGAGGGAGAGGAGGAGAGGAGAGGAGAGGAGAGGAGAGGAGAGGAGAGGAGAGGAGAGGAGAGGAGAGGAGAGGAGAGGAGAGGAGAGGAGAGGAGAGGAGAGGAGAGGAGAGGAGAGGAGAGGAGCGGAGCGGAGCGGAGCGGAGAGGAGAGGAGAGGAGAGGAGAGGAGAGGAGAGGAGGAGTGATGCGGGGCGCCGTTTGTTCAAAACGAGGACCCAACACCACAGGATGGTTGGGAAAAATCCGAAACAACGCTCAGGGGGGCCAAACGGTGCTGTGACCACACCGTGTGGTGTGTCAGTGGGGATCCTGGGTGAGCGAACGATTTTGGCACTCGGGTCGTTCTCGGGCGACAGGGGCCTCCAGGGTCCCAAAACCGTGCGGTGAGGGACTGAGCGGCGAGGCCTTTAGGGATTTCGAGGTTACCGCACAGTCCGTCACTGCACCGTCCGGGGATCCCCAAAACGGCTCAAGCCGGAGGATATTCTTATAGAGTGCGATCGCTGCAGACGGGGTGCTCACTTGTACGCCCTGGACCGGCCTCCGGACATCACCGTCAGAAGGAGAAGCAGCCTTCTTGTCTCATTCTCTCTTGATTCAAAAACGTCGATCCTCGAGGGTCGTAGGCCGAGGAGGAGCCCCCCTGCACCTGCTCAGAGGGCGCCCCCCGCGCGCACGCCGAGCAGGTGCTCCGCCGCCCCTGCCGGACGACCCCTCCGCTCCGTTCCTGAAACCGGCGGCGCGGCCGCTGGTGCAGGTGCCGCTGGAGTTCTCGTCCCTGCGCCACTGGTGCGACGTCATAGGGAGCCGGGAGGAGGAGGAGGAGGAGGAGGAGGAGGAGGAGGAGGAGGAGGAGGAGGAGGAGGAGGACGAGGAGGAGGGGGAGGGGGAGGGGGAGGGGGAGGAGGAAAAGGTGCCGACGCGCTGCCCCTTTTGCTGCCTCGTCTTGTCCCCTGAGCGGATGGATTCGCCTCGGAGTTGTGGTAAGCCCTTGTTGGCGGACTGGAGTCCCACCAGTTCAGACGACGACGACGACGACGACGACGACGACGACGACGACGACGACGACGACGACCGCGGCGACGACGACGACGACGACGACGACAACGGAGGGGCGAGTTTCTTCCCCGCCGAGAGAAACGGGGGGTGACCTCCTGAGGTGACCTTCCGTTTCCCCAGGAACAACATCCTGGCCGAGTTCTGGCACGTGTTCAAGGAGGCGCGCCCCTGCTTCAGCGGGCAGGGGTTCCGCTGCGCCGCCCAAGCGTGGGGGCTCGCAGGGGGGGGATATCCCGAGGCGGGAGCAGGGAACGAGCCCAGCTGGATGCTCTCTCTCTCTCTCTCTCTCTCTCACACAGATATGTACACATATAATATCATCATTCGTCGTATAAGTATTAGTTGTGGTATTCTTAGTAGTAGGGGTAGTATTACATGTGCTACTATTAGTGTTGTTCTTATTCGTATTCGTATTACTAGTATTATTCGTGATACTAGTATTGTTATATATGTAGACACATCTGTATATGCATATGTATACAAATACATATACATATATGTATATATGTATATATGTATATATATATATATATATATATATATATATTATATATATATATATCATACGCACCTCTCCGAGGGAGTAGAGCTCAGAGGCGATTAATGCGCACGCGTCCGCGATTGTTCTGGGCGTTTCGCTCGGGACATCCTCGAAATTCTGAAAATCGGTGGCACCCCTCACGCAGATCGCGACGTCAGGGTCCAAAAACACATGGGAAATTCAACATTTTAACATAAAACCTTCAAAAACACATGGTAATTTCAATAATTGTGACCCCGATTCTCAGTGAATGGCGGTTTCGCTTGAAAAATCCTTCCAAAATCGAGCCCCAGACCCCGCCTCGGAGCCTCCTGGGGGCCTCCTGGAACCTCCTGGGGCCTCCTGGGCCTTCTGAACCTTCTGGCACCCCAGACCCCGCCTCGGAGCCTCCTGGGGGTGTCCTGAAACCTCCTGGGGCCTCCTGGGGCCTCCTGCGGCCTCCTGGAGCCTCTTGGGGCCTCCTGAAGCCTCCTGGGGTCTCCTGGGGCCTCCTGAGGCCGCCTGGGGCCTCCTGGGGCCTCCTGGGGCTTCAGAACTACATGCACACAGAGACACACATTCACGCCCAACACATCACACGCTAGAGAAACATAACACACACACACACACACACACACACACAACACCTACAACACACAAAAAGCACGCACCACACGAAGCATACATCACAAACACACACACACACACACACACACACACACACGCACAACACTCACAATCCTGGGGCCTCCTGGAGCCTCTTCTGGTATCCAAGTCGGGCCTCCTAAGGCTTCCTGGGGGCCCTGGTACACACATCGCAAGGTGTGGCAACCCCACTTGCCCTCGAGTGCGACTTCGATGTTGCATTTCACTCCTGCTTCAAACGCCCTTTCAGTTTTTTGTATGAGCCTGGGCACACACGTGCCACTTGTGTGTATATATATATATATAGATGCACCTATCTACATGCATACAGGTATTAGTTGCGTGCCTGATGTTCCATTGCGTGTCCCGAGGAGGTCTGGCCGTCGATGTATCGCTTCCGTTGGATTTAGGGCCCAAGAACTTGCACAAGGCTTGCGTCTGGATTTCTTGTGGCCTGTCGCCCAGTACGCCTGGCAAGGGGCATTAGCTTACCTCTGGGACGGCAACCTCCAGCGTTGCCCGTCCGTCTCCATCCCGCCGGGCCCGCCGATCCCTGACTACGCGGCCTGCCCTCCGTGCCCTGGCTGCCCGGCGTGACTACGAGGGAAGCCATCGCGAGCCTCGCCAGCGGCGGCTGGACCAGTCGAGGAGGCGGCACTCCCGAATTCGTTCTGGATCTTGGTGCTGGTGCGCGAGCTGCTTGTCTTGGGGTTCGTTGCCGTGTGGGTTCGATCCTGCTGGTCGCGTGGCGGGTTGACGTGGCGCCGCGACGATGGCGGCAGCAACAGGCCTGGCGGTGCCCGAGGCGGCGCCAGCGGAGATGCGCCAGTGGGCCTGGATTCGCTACGACGGCGAGCCATTGTGGCACCAGGTCCTGATCTTGGGACGTCGGGCGAGGATGGCCATTGACATCGTGTCGGCCTTCACGGTGGTCCTTTGCATGGTGGACACCGGCGTGTATGAGGAGGACTGTTCACAAACTGCAGTGTACTCGAGCGCGCGCGGGGACTACCCGCGTGGCATCGCGGCCGCGAGTTTGTACAGGTCCAGGCGGGACTTGACAGCAGGCGAGCAGGCAGCGGTGGATCAGGCGGCGCTGGACTAGTGCAGGGTGGCGCTGGAGGCTGACCATCGGCGACACAGGCTAGGCGCCGCGGCTGGGCCCTGCATGACCCCGCTGACCTTCGGCCCAGGCGCCGTGGTGGCAGCTGGACCAGGAGGGTTCAGGGAGGTGCTCAGGTCTCGGAGCTGGTGGCTGTTGGCGGGGTTCCCGCGGGCAGTGCGCCCGGCGCGGGCGTGGCGGTCGCCGCCACCCTCGCAGCGGCTGCTGGTGCTGCCTCCTTTGGTGCTGCTGGGGCTGGCGCCGGCGCGGCGGCCGGGCCCCTGCTGGGGTGCTGGTGGAGAGTACCGCCGCTGGGCAGCGCGACGCGTTGGTGGCGCCGCCGGCGGGCTCGGTGCTGAACGGTTCGATCTGGCTGATGCCGGAGCGCGCTGGTCGCGAGGCCGGTGCAAACGCTCGGCCGACGGGCGCCCTGCCGAACCCCGCCGCGCTTGGCGGTCGCCTCTTTCGGCAGCGGCGGGACGCGGTCGCCAACCTCGCGGAGGAGGGCTTCGTGGACTGGCAAATACCTGGGCCCAGGACCTGCCTCCGGTGCCGCAACTTCATCGACGGGCGGGAGGGCGGTTCTGTCGATCATTTCCGCCTCTGGAAGCCGACGCTGGGCTTCAGCGCGGAGGACTACGGCGTGAACGACTACGAGACGGGGACGCGAGCCATCTCCACCATGGCGCGCCAGGGCGCGCTCAACTTGGCCAACGCCGCGGGCTCAGAGCAGATCCTCCGCAAGTGCCAGATGTACGCGTGCGTGGACGCGATGGACCGCGACCCAGTCTGCGGGCGCGCTGCCGGCGAATGCACCGCCGATGCTCCGATAGCGGCGGGGAGAAGGAGGGGAAAAGGGTCGGTCGCGGTCGAGGCGCGGGTTGTCAAGGGCTGCTCAGCTCCGGGTTCATCGGCGAGGGCGCGGCGGTCGCAGGCCTGAGCCGCGACCGCGGCGGCGACGTGATATGCCCCCTGCTCTTTGAGCATGGGGCAATGGAGGCGGGACATTTTCGCGCGTTCGGTGCGTCGGCGGAGTTTTCGCCGCGCCCGCGCCCGAGAGATGGCCACGAGGTCGCGCGGGCGCTCGACGAGATCTACGCGGGCAGGCCCGGCGCCTCCGCCGGCGGCCCTCAGTCGGCATCTTTTGGCCAGCTGCCGGTAATGGATAACAGTCGCGATGCAGTTCGGCGCCTCGGGCCGCTCCCCGAGGGGCTGACTGGGCCGGGGGCCCTCGAGGAGTTCCGGGTAGTCAGCGACCGCGCGGGGGGGTCCGCCATCGTCGCTCCGCCCAGCGATAGCATCAGCAGCCTCTCACCCCCGGCCGAAGGCTCCACGCCAGTGCCTCTTGAAGACTTGGGAGGATGAGCGGCTGCATTCGACGATATTGCCCTTGTCCGATCCGAGGGTCGGGCTCGCGTCGCGCCCGAGGCCCCTCGGCGGTTGCACGCCGACACAGCGCTCAGGAACCCGGCACTGTACGCCCAGCTGCAGCGGATCCTGGGGCATCGGAATAAGGTCGAGAATTGCGGTGGCAAGGCACGCAGCGCGGGCGTCATCTTCCCTTTTAAGGAGTCGGGGAAGCCGAGGCTCATCCTGGACGGGAGGCGCTTGTCGCTGGAGTTCCAAGTCCCAGACGCGGTCGCCTCGGCATCGCGCGCGGCTTTTGACGGCCCCCATGTCGACGAGGGGAAGCCGATCGCGGCGGCCGAGGCCGACCGCGCCGACGCGTGCTGCGCGATGCTGCTGCCGCTGGGGATCAGGCGGTACTTCACGCCCCCTGCCCTGCGAGCGGGGGCGATCGGCATCGGCGCCACGGCCGACCGGCGCTCGGTGGCCGGCTCGGTCATGGCGCGCCCCTGTTTCCGCCATCCGCCGACGGGGCGTTCGTTCTGCAAGTGGATCTGCCAGAAGATGCCGGGGCCGATGGCCCCGCAGGCGCCCGGCCTCCCTGAGGCCAATCGGCTCGTGGATCGCCGACCGCATGCGCAGGCGGCGGGCGGCATCATTCACACTGAGCGCACTGATTATGCAGTCAGCTTCTCGACTGACATGGCGATGGCCAAAGCAGCGGCCTCGGGAGCCAACGATCTGCCGACGGCTGCTGGGCCCCCGCGCACGGCGTGGACTGTTGTTTTGGAACATTGGACCTGGGGCGGCAGATCGATGAGGCGCCCCCAATCGTCGGCCTGAAACCGGCGCTGAGGTGGGAGAGGAGGCCGGCAGTCTTGGAGCTGTGCCAGAGAGGTTGCGCCTCGGGTAAGATGATCGCTCGCATGGTCTCGCGCTTTACCTCGCGGGCTCTCACCCGCCGTGGGCCGCGGCCCTGCCTCCGCTCGCCGTGCGCCCCTGCGGCGCAGCCTGGCGGGCGCGCGGCCTGGCTGCGGCCCATGTCTGCGCGAGCTACGGCGGCGCGCCAGCCCGCTGGCCTTCTGCTCGCAAGATGCGGGAGGCTACTTCTGACGATGCCCTCGCGACGGTCGCCTCGTCGCGGCGGGGCGCGGGAGTCACTCAAAAGCGTTATTCTTCCACCGTTGCCCTAGAGCTCTCGCAGTACAGTGAGAGATGGAGGCTTCCTCGGGCCCAGGGGCCCGGGGCCTCTCATCGCGGCCATGCACTTAAGTCCGCGAGCTCCGCCGGCCCCTTCAAGGCCGCAATCGACGACATGGGATGCGCCCGCGACGCCGACGCCGTCGAGATGGGGGAGGGGATGACGGCGAAAGACGAGGCCGAGGTGGATGGCTACGAATGCGACACCAGGCGGCCCGGCGCAAGCAAGCCTCGGACCCTCAGCAGGCGGCCCAGCGGCTGCCAACGCAAGCAAGCTCCAGTCCCTCAATAGGCGGAGGAGTTCCCCGATATCCCCGAGGACATCTGGAGCCTCGGATGGCACCCTGTCACCGCCGGTGCCATTCTGAACGTAAGGTCGTTCTCGAAGGCCGGGGAATGGCATTTGCAGTCCGTCACGTCCTCCGGCGTCTCTCGTCATTCAAACGATGCAATCTGTGCTTGGGCGGTTGTCTGGGCTCCCCCCTGGGCGCCGCACAAGGGCGCTCCTCGCGGCCCGAGATGGGCAGGGCCTGCATGCAGTCGGCGGACATTTCGCTGGGGCGGCCCTCTGCTGGCGCTGGGCCCCGTCGGAGAGGACATCAGCAGACCGCGCGCCCCGCGACCTGCCTCGGGGTCGGCCACGCTGCGCCGCCGGCGCTGGGGGCCCTGCTGGCCCGAGAAGCGGGGGGCGCCACTTCGGGCCGCACTCCAAGCCCCCCCCCCCCCGAATATATATATATATATATATATATATATATATATATTATATATACATATATATATATATATATAACTCGAGGAAGAGGCGCGCCGGGGCCCCGAGCTCGCAGCAGACCTCGCGGGGGCGGCCGACCACGCACGCGGCCGCCCCGGCGCTGTCCGAATCGCCGAACATGAGCGACCGGACCCGGCTGCGGCAGCTGAAGCACCAGACGAGGTGCGAGGCCGAGGGCGCGAGCAGCGGTCGTTCTTGGAGGAGAGGGCCGCGGGGCCCCAGACCGCGCTGGACTACCAAGCCCGCGACGAAGGCTCCCCGACCCGGGCTGCGTCGACGAGAACCACGATTGCCGGTGTGATCAACCTGGAGGGGGGCGCCCTGAGCTCGCGGCCGCGACTCGCCCCGCGGGGCGAAGCTACCGGCCGCGATCGCTCGTTTCTGATTAGACTTGCAGCCGAAATTGGCCCACCCCTGGGCGCAGCAGGCGCTGAAGGGCTTGAAGGCCCCAGCGTTTCCGCGGGCGCGCCTGCCCCTGCCCTGGCCAGCGGTGGCGATCATCGGGGAGATGTAGACGGCCAGGGCCACGGTGCTCACGTTCGTGCTCTACCTCTGCCGCGCCGCGTGCTGAACCGCTTGACGGCCGCGCGCGACCCCGACCAGCCCCTCTTCGCGCTGGACATGCGGGTCTGGGTTCAAGCCTCCCAGGCGACCAGCGCGCCCCCCCTTGGGCCAGAGGTGTTGGACCCCACCGTGCCCCGCCAACTGCGGCGCGGAGGGGCCGGCCAGGAGATGTTGGCACAGGCGCGAGCGTCCGGCGACATCAAGAGGCGTGGCCGTTGGGGGGCCGATTGGAGCTTCAGAGGCATAAGCCAAGGGAGGAAGGGCGCAGGCGAAGCTTCAGCGACTTCGGCCTGATCGGCAGGATCGCGCCCTCGAGCCGGTCGAAACCACTGGAGGCACCACATTCAGAAACCGAGCGCCTCGGCGGCCGCTGCCGACTCCAAGGGGCACTTCGGCTTGTTCAGTGGATCGGGCATTTGGTCCAGCGCGCTTCGGAGGGGGCTGGCGTCGCAGCTGGCGCCCCGGGTGTTCCAGCTGGACATCGAGCACGAGGGCGATCGCGATGACCAGAGCCGGCCGCGCGCGCAGCGCATGCGCGGAGATGGCTCCGAGGAGGTCAACTCCAGGGCGCCTGGCCCGGCATGCCGTGCAGCTCCTGGTCGGGGGCGCGCAATCGCCCAGACGGGCCGCCTGCCATTCGTGGCGCCGCCCACCTGCTCGGACTTTCCGACCTCGCGTCGCGCGACGAGCTGAGGGCGGCGCTGGGCAACCAGCTGGCGAAGTTCTCATTCGGCTTTTTGGTGGAATGCGGCCGGCGGGGCGTAACCTGTGCCATCGAGAACCCTGCCGCGTCCCCGGTGTGGCTGTCCCCCTGGGCGCAGCATGCGATGCGCCAGCCTGGCGTCAAAATCATGGACTTCGATTTCTGCGCGTACTCATGTGATGTATGTACACGTGAATCTCGACAGTCTTAAGGTTTGTATGTGTTTTGGTAGAGGGCCATGTATTTTCTCGGGCGCGCCGCGTGCGCCGGAGGGCAAAACGCCGCCCAGGGCATTCTGGACCAATGCTGCCGAGCCTTACCCAGCCAAGCTGTGCAGTAAGTCAGCTAGATCGCATTGCAATTCAAGACGGGGATCCACACATAGAGCCTTGAATCGAAAGGCGGCCGGAAGAAGGCCATGCTTTTTTCCGGGACAATGTTTCGAGATGGCCACATTGGCAGCCTGTTAGTTTCTCGGGTTGGCCATGTCGCTCTGTGCACCGTACGTCGCGGCTGGTCGATGCGTGCGAACATACGTAGTCGGTTGCCTGGCCAGAAAAGGAAGGGCTCGCTGGGGATATTTTTTGCGTGCCTGAATTTCCACAGCATGTCTCGGTGTCTGGCCGTGGATGTATCGTTTCCGTGGGGTTTGGTGCTCGACCCAGCCCTCCCACCCTTTAGCATTGTAAGGACGCTCCGCTGCGAGATCGCTAAATTGGCAGCCTGTCAGTTTTTCGGGCTGGCCCGTTCGCTCTGCGCACTGTGCGTCGAGTCTGGTCAAGGTGTGCAAACAGACGTGCTCGGTTGCCTGGCCAGAAAAGAGATAGTTCGCTGGGGATACTTGTATGCACCGCACACTTTTGGCGGAAGCGGCCTCGCGCGCTGCGACGAGGCATAGTCAATATAAGTTCTGAGCGCAGGGTCGCGGTCGGGTTCTCAAGAATCGCCTGGGGTCCCGCAGCACCGAACGCCATACATATACAGACTCTCGCAATTCCACACACACACATACACGTTGTTGGCGTAACGGCCTTGCGTGCAGCGACGAGGCGGATGTCTGCAACAGTGCGAAATCGTGCGCGAGACGGTTGGGCCTTCAACATCGCAGCTGATGCAAACCTACCGGCTTCGCCCATCCGAGCATGGATAGGACAAATTCACCACGGTTGCTTGGGAAGCGGAGGGCGCCATAAGCCATCTGGGCGTGGACAGCGTGGAGGTAAGTTTACACCCGTGGGGTTACCTGCACGGCGGCATGAGAAGAGCAAGCGGGCACTGGGAAACGACCGGGGACGCATGCAGAGGCAGCGGGGGGAGGGCACCGAGGCAGGCACGAGGAAAGAAAAAAGGAGAGCGGCCAGGCAAATTGCCAAAGTGGCTTCAGGCGTAGGAAAGGAGTGTCAGGCACAGAGGCCGAAACTGGCGCGGGCACAGCGCCAGAAGACGGCAGCCCCGAGCCTAGCGCCGAGCCTGCCGTCCCCGCCCCCGGCCGAGGCTGGAGGCTTTTTTTTTGCGAGGAGGCAGCTCCGCCGCCCGCCACATGAGAACTGGCGAGGGAGGGAGCAGGCGTGGGAGCAATGGCAGCGATATCACTTGGTATGCTGTCGAGGAAATCGCCGAGAGCGACGACGGGGAACTCGGAAGGTGTAGCCTTTTCGTTGCTGGTGTGCTGGTGGCCCTTGGCCAGCCAGGACCTCCATTTAGCGCGGACGAAGGGAGCAACCACCTTGCCCCCCCCCCTCAAGCCAGGTGGCAACCTGCGCGGCCAGGCGGCGCTGCGCAGGGCCAGGTTCGGGAGGGCCGGCCAGTGAGCTGGGCGTGGGCGCAAAGCGCGCCTTAGGGAGCGGCGTAGGCATCTCGGTAAGGCGCGACCCCGCCATCGGGTTGGGAGCGGGAGGGGTGGGGACTGGTGATGGCGGCGCAACAGAGGTACCTCGAGCAACAACGTGCGGGGCTGATCCCCAGCTGCTGGCCGTGCACCGATGGCCGCGGGCTTGTGGTCGGGGGCGGATTCGTCGCCGTAGAGTTGCCCGTGGGGCGGCGGCGGGGGTGGTGGCACGGTGGGAGTACAGGGTAGTCGGCGCTCTGGCACCGCGGGTCGGCCGCGGGGGGGCCTCGGGGCAAGAGCCGTCGGAGGGCGGTAGGCGTACGCTGGTTAGCCGGCTGCCGATGGGCCAGCCGCCTGAGACTTGGGTTCCGCTTTGGCAGGCGCGGCGCCTTTAGCCTTGGCAGGCTCGCGGGAGCTGGCGGCAGCCGGCGGCCTCGCAGGTTGGTGCGTGCTGGCACTGCCTTCAGGGCGGCTGGCTTGGCGACGGGGAGCCGCCGAGAAGGCAATGGTCTCGTCAAGGGACGTGCCGACCGACTTGCATCGCCAGGCGGGACCTGCGGAGAGTAGGCTGGGAGCACCCACCAGTCGCGGAAAGTCGCGGGACACCAGCCGCCTGTGCGAAGCGCGCGCGGATCGAAGCTTGAAGGCGGGAGGGTTGCCCTCAGCCGCACCAAGGTCGCGGGGCCCGCTTCCGTGTGGGCGGCCTGTGGGCGCACGGGGGCTGCCCAACTTTACGGCTTCGTGCCCTGTGGGGGAAGCGTTGCTGGCCGTGGCCTTCGCGCTCCAATGGGCGGTCCGTGAATGAGGGCCGCGACGCTCAGAGAGAGTAGGTGTGGGCGATGTCCTTCTTGGTGTCGGGGTCCATGCTGTGCCAGCCGCGCAGGTGTTAGGCGTCCCAGGCGGCACAGAGTCCGCTGAGAAACTTGGGCTGGAAGAGCTTAGGGTAGGTATGAACGAAGGGCTTGCCAGGAGACCCGAGGTGGTAGAGAAAGTCCCTCCAGACGTCCTGCCCACCTATGGTCCGGCGTATCTCGTTGAATCGCTTCAGCAGAAGCGCACCGGTTGGAAAGGCGTTGGCCGCCACGTACTTGTGGGGCTGCCCATAAGCAGGCGCGTGGGTGGCCGGTTTGCTGGCACCCTTCGTGAGCTTGTACCCGTAGGCGCGGGAGAATCCGCCGTAGGAACTCATCGTCGCACTTCGCAGGGTCCCCGTGCTTGGCCGCAGCGCGCACACGCACACACACACACACACACACACAACAAATGGGGCCAGTGCAGGTGGGGTCGAAAGCCCGCGCCGCATCGCGGATGCATCACCAGCGTGGCTCGATCCAGAGCCCGCCCGACCTTCTCCGTCCGGGCGCCACCGATGCATCGCCGAGCATGGTGCGATGCCCTGGCCACAGCTACTCTCCCGCCCCATTTATGGGCGGCCTCCAGGTTCGCCGCCGGCGACGAGCTCATCATCGAGAACGCGCCCGCCGACGGCTTCACGCAGCACCTGCTGCTGATCGACAGGCAGCCGCGCATCGTCAGCTCGCAGCGGATCCTCGGGGTCGGGCGCGTGGCCCTCAAGCTGCGCGGGGGTGGCGCGAGGTCGGGCCGCGTGCAGAGCGTCGGTTACATCGGCAGCTACCTGGCCGAGTTTGCGGCCGCCCTCGAGCTGAGGATCAAAGGGCAAAACCGTCATGAACAGATTCAGAGGAGTAAGAGGTATCTATGCCGCTACCCTTCCCCCGTTTTCCCCTTCTTGGGCTTCTTGGGAGTCGCCACCGCTAGATTCCGGGGAACAGCGGTATCAGGTATCGGTACCTTTTGCTTTCCCGTATACACTCGGGAATGTTTGGATAGCGTGTCGCGCCGCCGGTTCTGGCCCGTCACGCTTCAGCGCGGCACGCTATCCGCTTCCGGGTCCCCAGGCGTCAACGTCCCGAGCTTTTCCCAGCCTCCCGCCGCGCGGAGCGGAGCGACACGCTGTCCACTCGCATGACACAGCGTGTCGCCTGCGCCGCCGCCGCCACACGCGAAGCAAAAGTTCTTGACCGTAAAAGCATAATTTCTCGGAGGTCCGCGCGGATTTCGTGGACCGGCGCTGGGCCCCCCTGGCGGCGCTTCTGGGGGCCCAGCGCCGATCCAAGAAATCCGCGCGGATCTCCGATGAATTATGTTTAAGCCGTTCTTTGCTCCCCTATCCAGGAGCATGCCGCCGCGCGAGCTGACTGGGCCTATGCGCGCCATACTGGAGCCCAAGGTGGAGCAGCCAGGCGAGTACGCACGTAGGCCGATCAACGCGGCCTCGGTGCCAGTGAACCCGTCGCAGCGGGCGACCATCGAGGGCCTGCGCCACGCGCTGGAGAAGATCCAGGGGCCCCCCGGCACGGGAAAGTCCACCACCATCTTCCACATCCTGGACTCCAGGGTGCCTGTGGGGCAGAAGGTCCTGGTCACCTGCTCCCGGAACGTGGCGGTGGAGTCCATCGCGCAGAAGCTGGAGGGCCTGGACGACTGGCCCCTGGTGGTCTTCGGGCCGCGGGACCGCGTCGGCCCGACCGCGCGGCAGCACCTGCTGGACACGCAGGTCGGTAGCCAGTTCGACGAGCGGCGCCTCTCCCACGTGACGCCCGTCGTCGCAGAGCGAGCACGGGAGCTGTCCGCTGCGATCGCCGCCAGGGAGGCGCAGTGCGCAGGCAGGCGCTACGAGCCTCTGCTGCGCGCGTTCCTGCGCCGCCGGCACGCCGTCGCGTACGCCCTGCGGGACTTCTGCGACAGGCTGAGTTCGTACTGTCTAGCAGCCTCCGCAGCCCCCGACTGGTGCAAGCAGCGCGTCCAGGTGGGCAAGGAGGGCGTGCTGGGCCACGTGAAGGTGTTCCTGTGCACGATCGCGTCCACGAGCCGGATGCTGCGAGAGTGGGAGGAGGTCTCTGGAGAGGACCTGCGCGTGCACACAGTGGTCGTGGACGAGTGCGGGTGCACTCCAGAGTCGTCCACGGCCCTCCTCCTGCGGCTCCGGCCCGCAAACCTCATCATGGTCGGCGACCACAAGCAGTTGCCGCCCTGCTCCCTGGTGCCGCCGCAGGTCCTGGAGGGCACATGGCACACGCGCTCCCTGCTGGAGCGCTGCGTGCTTGCGTCCGGGAAGGTGCACCAGCTGCGCGAGCAGTACCGGATGCACCCTTCGATCGGGAATCTGGTGAGCAGCCTTTTCTACGCTGGGAGGCTGGTCACCCCGCTGGCGGTGGCGCAGGCGCGGAAGGCCCGGGAGCAGAGGCCGCTGGTGTGGCTGGACGTGCAGGGTCGAGAGGAGGCCCCCGAGCGCTCCTACATGAATTCGGCCGAGACCACCGCGTGCGCCAAGGTGTGCACGGCGCTGCGAGAGCGTGTGGGCGACAGCGCTACAATAGCGCTGCTCACGTTCTACAGAGGCCAGCTGAACGAGCTGATGCACGCGATCCCAAGCGATCTGGGCATCGAGGTGCTCACAGTGGACGCATGCCAGGGCAGCGAGTTCGACTACGTCGTGCTCAGCACAGTTCGCGCCAACCGCGAGGGGCGCCTCGGCTTCGTCAAAGACCAGCAGAGGATCAACGTCGCGATATCCAGGTCGAAGCTGCAGCTCTTCGTGGTCGGGAGCCGCGCGACCCTCAGCAGCGATGCGGACTGGAGCAAGGTCAGCAGCGCCTGCTCCCCAGCGCTCCCACAGGAGATCAACCCCAAGAAAGCGCTCCACACAGCTGCCTCGTTCGTGTCCGTGTTCGACATGCTGCAGCAGCAGAAGCAGCGCGAGGCCGCCCAGAAGGCCGCGGCGGCCCTCGAGGAGCAGGAGGGCCGCGGCACGGGCGGCGGCAAGGGCGGCAAGGGCGGCGGCAAGAGCGGCGGCGATCGGGAGACCAACCGCCGAGATCTGGCGCCGTGAGCAGATCCCAGCGTCCTGGAAAGCCGGACGCGCACAGAGCCGCCGGCCCCCCGTCCCTCCACGTCGGTTCCTCGGGCCGTGAGGGCCCCCCTGGGGCCCGAGGTCGGACAAGGACGCCCGTCGTGTTTTTTTGTCCACGGCGCCCGGATCTGAGTCTGGTTGACCCAGAAGGGGGTCCCGCGACAAGGGGGTGGTGCAGTAGAACTGGTGCAATAGATTCGTGGGGTTGTAATACATTCCGGTACGCAAATACATTGCTGGGCTTTCGCGTGCAATACGTTAGATGCAATACAAATTTGAATGCAGTACAATTCTTTGGCGCAGTACATTTGCAATACAATTGCCCCAAACCGATTGCACCACCCCCTTTCAGCTGGACCTTCTCTTGGGTCAACCAGGCTGAGCTCACAAGTAAATACGGTCGCGGCAAATGCGCAGAGCATTGGCATGCGCGGAGAATTGATTTGGCGCTTCTCTCCCAAACCGCTTTTGCACCAAGGAGCTCTTGTCTAGTGGCCTTCAGCCCATCCCGCCACCGCGCCTGGGTTGTAGGTAGGAGGCCTCTTGGATGCTTGTGGGGACCTCCTGGAAGGCCTCTCGGAAGCCTCTTGGAGGTGGTTGTCTTGGGGCTTCCTGTGTGCCCTATGGGTGCTGTCTGAGGCCTCGTGGGGGCCTCCTGTGGCTTCCTGGGGGTCTCTCAGGGGCCTGCCGGTCTCGGGTGTCATCTTTGCGCGGGTGGGGGGGGGCCTCTTGGGCCGTCTTGGAGCGTCGGAAGCCCGAAAAGGCGAGAACGCTGCAATAATACAGTCGGCCCTGATTAGTAGGTCGGCCCTGCCAAATCAAGGGTACCCTTGCGACCTGTGTCTCGCAACCCATGCCTCCTACATTCCTATGGCTGTGTGCCCCTCTGAAGGATCTTGTGTCCTCTCGCGTGTCCTGTCCAATCAAGTCCGACTGTATATGTTTGCCTCTTGGGGCCCTCTTGGGAGGTCTCTTGGAGCCCGCTTGGGGCGTCTGAGGGGCCTCTTGGGCCGTCTTGTGGTCATCCTGAACTCTCGCGAAGCGCTCTTGGGCTGTCTCGGGGCCCTCTTGGGCTGTCTTGGGGGCGCCTCGGGGCCCTCTGGGCCCGTCTTGGGGCCCCCTGGCTTCAGGAACAGTCACGCGAAAGGCCTCACGAGGCACGGGGCGCAGCCAACAGCGCCCTGGAGCGCCCGGAACTCGGGGTCGTGGGCCCCTGGAGAGCACTATAATATCCCATACGGGGAACACTCCTCCTCGTGTCTCGGGGCGCGGAGACCGATGTGGTTGCTGAGAGGAGTGGCCGGCCTATTTGGGGGTTCGCCCAGCGCCAGCCCGTGGGCACTGCGCGGGCGACCCGCGCGCTGGCTGCCACTTCCGGATTTGTGCCCGGTGCCCGCCAGCGGGCGCCTCACGGGGTGGGCACACCGTGTCCTGGCTGGCGTCTCAGGGTTTGGTCGCCCGGTGCCCGCCCGTTGGCGCCGCATGGGCGCCCCGTGCGCTGGCTGGCGCCTGCACCGAGCGGCGCGTGCAACCCACAGATCGGATTGCACAACGTACGCTGCGCCACATAGACTCCGCCGCCCCCCTAGGATGATCGTTTCTCCTTGGGATACGTGCGGCAAATTACATATGATCATGCGTCATCCGTTTGGCAGTTGGGTTCATACCAGCCCATGGAGCCTCTTTTTCGACCCCCTCTCCCCCATGACAAATAACGCTATGCGCGCGCACTCTCTCTCTCTCTCTCTCGCTCTCCCTCTCGCTCTCTCTCTCTCTCTCTGTCTCTCTCTCTCTCTCTTCATTTATTTCTGTCGTGTTTGGTTTGTGTTGTCTCTCTCTCTCTCTCTCTCGCTCTCTCGCTCTCTCCGAAAACAAGCATGTCCAATAACCCCTTGGGGAAAAGCCTGATGAAGTCCACATGCACGCGTGGTCGCGCGCGCATGCCAGAAAACTTCCAAAGACGCAGGTTTCGCAATACTTGCCAACAAACAAAAACGCTTGCGCGCGCGTTCTTGCGAATTCTTAGTGGCAACATGAGTTGTTCACACAGGCTTCTCGTCGGTGCATGTCGGAATCATGTAAATTTCTAGTGCGCTTGTTGTGGAGCACAACCCTGGTCAAATAAGACCGTGCAGGCCACGCGCGCGTCGGCCGCGCGCGCATGTCGAAATCCTTCAAAAACTTGCATTAACGACACATGAACATCACCACCGTCGTCGACGTTACCAGCATCGGCGCCGTCATTAGCCTTGCCGTCGTCATTGTCATCATCGTCACCACCATCATTCGTATCATGATTGCTGCAGGTGTTGGCTACGTCATGATGATACCGCACCCGCCAGAGCCACCGACCTGCATTAAGCGCCTGCGCGCCTGCGCGGCCTTTTGACCCTCGCTGGGGAGCTCCCGTCGGAAGGCGTCATCGCAGCCGCAGACATGCGCCAACCATGGCCAAGCAGTAAGCGCAATCGGCGCCGAATGTGCTGTGATGACCAAGTTGCAGGTGCGGGTAGGAGTGTGGGGTGATTGTGCGAGCAGTGGAGTTGACATGTTCAGGGTGTTCCAGCCCACAGATTACAAGTCATAGCCTGAACCACACAGATTGGACCACACGCGGACTCTCTTTTCAAAAGCAAAGTATACTCCACCACCCCCACCTGGGGTTCGCGGCCCCCCCTTCGGGACATTGCAGATTACCTAGGGTTCTGCCTCATCGTTCATTGAATTAGCTCATACCATCCCAGCCAGGCCGACTCGCCCCCCCGCTTCCCATCCTTATCAAATTAGACCATGCGCGCGCAATCGTTTTTGTGAATAGATAATGTGTTCAAGTACCAATTGCAGAGAGGGCGCAAAGTTCACACGCGCGCGCACGTGTCAAAACCAGACCAAACACATCAACCTTGCAAGCACGTCAACCTTAAAGCATCAAAACGTTGTCTGTCAGCAGAGGTTTTGCAGATGGTCAGCCCGCGCGCATTTCCGGAGTCAGAATGTAAACGTATGAGCTTAGCCATGCCGTCCAGGACCCGCGTTATTATTATACTACGCGGCACATCCACGTTGATCCAGAATGCGCCCAACTCGCACCCGCACCAAATCATGCCATGCGGGCCACACTCGCGCGCCGCCACGCGCGGTGTCGAATCCCGTGTGAAACCATTGGTGCTCGAAACATTGCAAGACAGAGATGTCCAACGACGTGTGGGAAGATACGTTCATCGACATGTCGTTCAGTTGTCTTGAACTCTTGCGCGTTATTCCTGACAGCCACACTTATCAGCGCCATCGCTTCCACGCAGGTTCCGTCATCGCCAACCTTTCTTAGCGTCGCCATCGCCCGCCAGCACAATTCATCACCGACACATGGAATTCACAATCGTCGTTTGCGTCGCAAGCTGCGGCGCCGTCATTGGCCTTGCCGTCGTCATCGTCATCATCGCCACCACCATCGTTACTATCATTATTTTTGCCGCCGTTGTCGACGTCACCATGGTTCATGACACCGCGCCCGCCCGAGTCACCGACCCGCATTGAAGCACCCGCTCGCCAGTGCGGGTTTTTGAGACGCGCTGGGAGTCCCAAGCGGCAAGCGCCATTGCGGCCGCATCACTTGTGCAAACCAGCTGGCCGCTCTGCGAGCGTGCTTGCGTTCGCCAGTGCGGCCGAGAAGACGGGCAAGCCAGCGCCCAGCACATGCGCAATCGTGGCCGCACGGTTTGCAAAACAAGTTGCGGCTGGGATGATGGGAGATTTGCGCGAGCAGTGGAGTCGACAATTCAGTCTTTACAACAGTTAGGTCTAGCTACGGAAAAACGAGTTTGGATCTGCTCCCCCCTCCCCCAGATAATTGGCACAATGCCGCAATCTCCAGTAACAGTATTCACTTTGCACGGGTTCTAAAACCCAGTGTCACAAAAAAGTTTAAACGGATGGTTGTTCAGCATGGCTTGTCGGAGCAAGTCTGTGCGTACGTTCTTCCGAATTCTTACGGCACCTTTTATGTTTTTTGGCATGTTCATCAAAGGTCACTAAACGGGCCTCGCGCGCTTGTCGGAATCATATGAACGCCTTTGCTCGCGTGCTGGGGAGCGCACGATCCCTGTCAAATTAAACCATGCTAACCATTCGCGCCCGCCGGCCAGGCGCATGTCGAAATCTTCCAAACCCTTTCACCACCGACAGGCGGACATCATCATCGTCACCGGCATGATCAGCATCGGCGCGGTCATTGGCCTCGCCGTCGTCATCGTCATCGTCGTCGCCAGCATCGTTGCTATCATCATCGTGTGTGCCGTTGTCGGCGTCGCCATGATTACGCGCCCGCCCGAGTCACCGACTCGCATTGAAGTGCCCGCGCGCCAGCGTGGCCTGCGAGACGCGTTGGGAAGTCGCCAGCGGTCAGCGCCACCGCAGCCGCGTCGGTCGCGCCAGAGTAGGTTGCCGCTCTGCGCGCGAGCCTGCGCGCGCTAGCGCGCGGTAGTACGGCCGCGGCGATGTGCCAGCCAGCGCCTCGGAATCATCGAAAACGCCGCCGCATGGGCTTTGCAAACCAACTTGCGGGTAGGTCGGTGGGATGATTGCGCGAGCAGTGGAGCTGACAACTTCTAGTTCGACTGGGCGAATTGCATCCCATAGATCGCGCCACACACATTGCATCCCATTCGGTACACATCCAATGTGCGAAAACTTGTTGTTTTTGGCCCGCGCTGGCAAACATGTTTGCCACACTCCCGCCATCCCTCGCAGGCAAGGGCGGCGGCAGGTCTGGCGGCTTCGGCGCCTCGGCGGACGAGCTCATGGGCATGCAGAACTCGTTCAGGTAACCTGGTGACCTCTCCCAATCCCCGCGACATGTCCTGCCAGGAAGTTCGACGCCCACCCGCAACGTCGGTGGCCAGGGCGGGAGTTGGAGACACAAAGTGCGGCCGCACATTTTGCCAGCGCTCGGCCTTCGCGGGGCCGGGCCCGCCCGCTCCTCCAGGAAGGGTCCCCCGCTTGCTCCGCATGTGGATCCAGCCGCGCGTGCTTCTGCAAGCCAGGAGTGTGGGGCGGCATCACCGAGAAGGGAGCCAACAGCGCGGACATTCGCGCGCAAGTTGGCCTCGTAAGGTCGCGCGTGATCATTGCCGCGCGCATTGCCGCGCTAAGCCGAGGAGCAAGGTCGTCGCGTCCTCCCGGGTGAAGCCCCACCCCAGACTTCTGGCGTCATGCTGTTGTTCATAAGCGGGCCGCAAAGCCCTTCTCGGCCCCATTCCGGGTGACAAGTCATTCGTTTTGCATCGTCTTTCTTGTCACGCTGCCCGCAAACAGCTCTTGGAGGCTGCACGTGCTGGCAAGCGTGCACTTTTTATGTCATGGTTTCCAAGACGAGACGATGGGGGTCTCCTGGCGTCGTTCGGACGTGCGCATTTGCTTCGGCAGGGCCCATCGAGAAGCATCATGGGGCCATCTTGCGAGAATAAAAAACCCACGAAAGCGAAAAACGCACGGGGAATGGACGTCGGAGCGATGGCGAGATCTGGGTCTTCCCGTTTGAGCGTCCTGGGCAATGGACGTCCGAGGATGGCTGGGTCACTACTGGACCTCTCTGGGGTGCGCGTCTTGGCCTGGATTCCGACGGGAACCCAGCCGGGGCCACGAGAAGCCTCCCATGAGGCCCAAGGATATCCGAGAGCCTCGAGTCTCGATCCTCGGCCCAGTCGTCCGACGAGCGGACGGACGAAGCAGCCATGCGCAAAACGCGCGTAGGCAAGACAGTTGGCGAGCGTGCGAGCAGCGCCAAACGCCTTGACTGGCGGACAGGAGGAGCCCAACGCGCGACAAGACAGCGACGACGGCCCAGGCGTCCGAGGCCTTACCGTTTTTCACGGTGGGGCCCCCAGAAGTCCCGACCCTTTCCCCCGTGACGGGTGTTTCATCGCAGGCCGTTTGCGACGGTCTTGGGGTAAAGGACCGCAGACGCCGAAAATGCACCAAAACATCCGTGCGTGCGAACTCGGCGCCAGGGCCTTTCCTGGGGTGCGTTCTGACCCGAGGCTCGAGGCGAATTCGGCCGTGGCGACCGGAAGCCCCCGGGAGGCGCCCGCAACAAAAAGCTTCGGCCCTCGAAGCTCGAGGCTTGAGCCCCCCTCACCACTGGGACCAGGCCCGACCCTCGAACAGCTCGAAGCTCGGCCCTCGAAGTTCGAACAACGAAGCTCGAAGCTCGAGGCTCGAGGCTCGAAGCTCGAGCCTCCCCCCTGCGACCAGGCTCGACCCTCGAACAGTCCAAGGTTTGGCCCTCTAGCAGCTCGAGCATCGACCCTCGAGGCCCGATCCTCCACCCTCAGGAGCCGCACGGCCGTGGTGCGGAGGAACGACGGTTCCTACCGGTGCACGGGGGCGGCGGCCGCCATAGGCGGCGGCTTCCGCAGGCGCGCCGACGTCGCGGAGCTGCAGGCGCGGCTGTCGCACCACCAGGCCTCGCTGGAGGCCGGGCATCGCCCTCGCCTGCGGTCGATCTGGGGCAGGATTACTTGGCATCGCTCGGACGTGAGCGTTTTTCCTCGGCGAGGACCATCGAGGACCGTCAAATACATACTGAAACCGACAACAATTAGCAGGGAATGAACGTCCGAGCGATGGCGAGACTGGGGGCAACGTTGATGTTTGCTTGCGCTATTCTTAGTTCTCGGCGGTTTTCCAGCCTCGGGGTGCCTTCCAGCAGCTGCGCCTCGCCCTCGCCTGCGTCGATCGGGGGCGACGTTAGGGTGGGAACGTCCGGAGTGCAGCGGGGGTCCAGCCTTTCGGACGTCTCCGTCGGTTCTTGGCGGGGCCAGGCTCCGCGCGGCCGAGGGCGCCCCGAGGGCCTTCGGTGGCCCTCCGTTGCCGCTCGGAGGGCCTCGGAGGGGCGCCCGGACGGCCTCCGGAAGGCTTCGGAGGCGTCTGGAGAGCCCTCGGAGGCCTTCGGGGGCGCTCGCGGCGGACTCTGGGAAGCAGTTGGAGGGCGTCTGGAGGCTCTCGGGGGCGTTCGGAGGCCTTCGGAGGCAGGCTCAGGGGAGGAGGCATCGACTCCGAGGTTCGAGGTTCTCGGGACGTGTTCGTCAGACCTCGGTGGTTCTCCAGTCCCGGGGTGCCGTCCAGCAGCTGCGCCTCGCCGAGGGCGCTCCAGGGGTGCCGGAATCGTCCCCACCGGCATCCAGAGAGTCGCGTCTGGGCTTGAGAACCAAGGGGTAACGTCAGGGGGGGATGGGCTCAGGGGAGGGATGCATCGACCCCCAATCGTCCACTCGTCGCCGATAGGAGCCCGATGGCTCACCACGCCCGGGGCCGTGCGGATTCGCTATCGGGGGCCTGTCGCCGATGTATCGGCGATCTGTCGGCGATGGGTCGCCGCCTCAAGATCGAGCCTTCCCCCCACTTGCACTCAATCGAGAGCTCGGCCCAGAACCCTCGCTGCAAAGGGGGCAGGTGAAGGCCAGCACTAGTCTCGCTTCGGATTGGAGTATATGGGCGTCTTCTCTCCTCGGGGTGTTTTCCAGCGGCTGCGCCTCGCCGAGAGCGTTCGGGGGAGTGCCCGGATCGTCCCGAACGGCCGCCAGAAGCCCGAGTTATGCCCCGTGGGAGGCCTTGGGGGCCCGAATACGGTGGAACAAATCCAGGACCCCTTCCCTCGAGGAACCGCTTCCCTTCGCGCCTCCCACGGATGGCATGGAGAGTCACATAATGACTCTCGTCTTCAAACGTCATGATGGGGGAGGTTCAAACTTCGAACTTCCACGATCGATGTTTTTGCAAGGTCTTCTCGTCGTCACGGCTGGATGCGCCTCGAAGTTCTTGTGGCTCGGCTGGACTCGTCGTGAAATTCTTGCCAGGACGCACCATGGGATGGGTCTAGGTCTCGACTTTCGAGGAGGAGGAGGAGGAGGAAGAGCAAGAGAAGGAAAAGGCAAGAAATCCAAAAGCATTAAACAATCATCGGCTGTGTGACTGGTTTGGGCCTCTCGGGGGTCTTCTCGGGACGCTCCATTGCAATTTGGAGCCGTCGTAGGATGGCCATGTGGCCTCTTGAAGGCACGCTGAAGTGCATGTTGCATCATATTGGACCATGCTGCCGTCTTGGAGGCAATCTTGACCTATATGAGGCCATCGTGTGGCCATCGTGGCCCAATAGCCTCCAAGGATGTTCCCGAAGTGTCAAAATCTTCCAACTTTCAACCGATGACGTGGTCGTTCAGCGATGCTGGCTTTGGACAGAAGGGATGGCGCCGATCCTTTGAGACCCACCCTTCACCCTCTTGGAGCCTTCTTGGGCCCATCTTTGGGCTTTATTGGGCAATATTGGGGCCCGGTTTGAGGACCTGGAATCCAATCTTAAGCGAACGAGCGAGAAAGCAAACGAACACATACACACACACACACACACACACACACACACACACACAAACGCACACACACACACACACACACACACACACACACACACACACACGCACGCACACACACACACACACAGGAAACACCACATGGTCGAATTGGCTTGGCCTCTTGGGGGCATTATTGAGAGGCTCCGTGGCCACTTGGAGCCATCTTGGAGCGGTCGTGGGACCTTCTCGAGGCAAATTGCAGGCCATCTTGAGCATCGGTCACCATATCAACCGAAAATGGGGGAAAGCACAACCAAATAGGACGGATTCCAACCATTTCGGTTTCAATCCCAACCAACTGATACAAATTACAACCGCGGCTCAAGCTTCTTTAAATACTTACAGGTTTCGTAGAAGCTCCCCAGAGGCCCCTCCTTAGAAGCTCCTGAGCAGCTCCTTAGAAGCTCATTAGAGGCTCTTTAGAAGCTCCCCATAAGCTCCTTCGAAGCTCCTTAGAAGCTCATTAGAAGCTCCCTATACGCTCCGAAGAGACTCCTTAGAAGCTCCCTAGAGGCTCCTTAGAAGCTCCTTAGATGTTCCTGAGAAGGTCATTGAAAGTTCCTGAGAGGCTCCTTAGAAGCTCGTTAGAGGTTCTTGGGGGGCTCCTTAGAAGCTCCGGAATGGCTCTTTTAAAGCTCCCTACAGGGTCCTTTGCAGCTCCTAGGAGGCTCTTTGGAGGCTCCTTAGCAGTTCCTTAGAAGCTCCTTGGAGGCTCCCAAGAATAGCTTCTTAAAAAGGCTCCTTAGAAGCCATTTAGAAGAACTTCAAGGATGTGTGTCGGATTTCTGGATGATTGCTGGTGGATTGCTGAAGGGTGTTCAAAGGACGTCTGAGAAAACCTGCGGACGGCTGGAGGAGGAGGGGGAGGGAAGAAGCAGGGAAGGAGGAAGGAAGGGAGGAAGGAAGGACGGAAGGAGGAAAACGAGCATGATACATCGGGTTTTGGATATGTGTTATTGTGAAAGGGGTGCATGTGTGTGTGTTGTGAATATATGTTGTTGTGTTGGATACATGTTGTTGCTTTATGTGTTTTTTTGTTTGCGAGTTGCTAGCGTAAAACAGCACAACATCCAGACCCCAGAAGATACATTGGTACCAGTTCCAACCAGGCCCCCCCCATGTTTATTCCCATAGTAAATGTGCACCCTTTAGACGTTCATGTGATGCGTGGATCGTCTTAAACTGCTGTACACCAGCAGTTCTATTGTAGGCCCAAGACGGCCCGTTGTAATTGGTACCACTTAGTTTTCTGGCCAGTTCAGAAGTGGCCACTTCGGTCGGCATGCCATGTCGACCCTTACATCTCGGTCAATGAGGCCGTGCAAGTTAGCCGCGGGGTGGTCAGCATGGTTTGTGGCTCTTGCACCCTCGATGCATTTGCATGGGTCTTTTGACGGGGGTTATTGGACAGCGCACAGCGATCAAATGCGCTCATAACCAGGCCACCTCTTTCAAAATGTATTGCAAAGTGGTCGCGGAGCGCCCGCTCATGATCCAGATTTTGCCGCCACGTGCATTCTGCAAGTGTTGTTGATAGCGAGGGCGCGGGGGTGCGATAATGATTCCTCGTTGGTGGCCAGCTGTGTGTGGGGGAGGGGGTGTTTATTAACAAGGAGCAAAGTTAAACCCCTACCCGCAGGGAGGACGGTGGTTGGAAGAAGACACACTTATATCGCCTCCGCCCAGTGGATCGGTGGGATCCTGGTCGGAGCGTGCACACGGATAGGTCCTCACTAAACAGTGAGCACCAAAATCCGCCCGCCCCAGTGGGGGCGGGGCTGCCGGGACTGGTGCAGGTGGGAGGTTGGCGCCCTATGAACATGGGCCCCCAGACGTTTCGACATCTTCCCCCCAGACCGGCCGTTCGCACCGGACCATCCCTCGACAGTCCCAGTGCCCCAGCCGCCGAACGCTTTGAGAAAAACACGAATCCGATCGTATGTTTTCCGGGTCGCTCCAGAGGCGTGCATACCGCGCAACCAGCAGAACTACAGAGCCCCGAAGACGGAGCAGGACTTCGAGGAGCGATTCCCCGACGGCGGCGACGACGACAACGACAACGACGACGACCATCATGCGACCACATACAACGAGAAGGTCATTTGATGTTCATTTGTGCAGCCCTCTCCCTTGCATCCGCTCTCCAAATCGATGGGCCAGACCTCTTTTTAGGGGTGTGGAGGGGTTGGTTTTCTCATACTCAGCGTCTTGCTTGTTTGGCGAGGAAGTCCTGGGCGAGAGGGCCACTCCTGAGGTCGGGGGCCTCTCTGGCCATGACGTCTTGGAGTGAATCGCGAGGAGGTATCGAGCGGGAGCCATTGTCGTCGAAGTTGGGCCTCCACCAACTTGATTGACATGCGAGGAAGAACTCTCGCGAGAGTTCCGTTCCTGAGTTTGGGAGCCTCTCTGGCCAGGGCTTCTCGGAGTAAATTGCAAGGAGGTGTCGAACGGGAGCCGTTGTCGTCGTAGTTGGGCCTCCACCCGCTTGCTTGAATTGCGAGGAAGTCTCAGGCGAAAGCGCCGTTTTTGAATTTCGGGGCATCTCTGGCCAGGGCGTGTCGGAGTAAATTGTGAGGAAGAGTATCGAGCGGGAGCCGTTGTAGTCGCAGTTGTGCCTTCACAAGCTTGATTGAACTGCGAGGAACTATGGATGGAGAGCGCCGTTCCTGAGTTTTGGGGCCTCTCTGGCCAGGGAGTTTCGGATCACATTGTGAGGAAATACGAAGCGGGAGCTGGTGTCGTCGCACTTGGGGCTTCAATCGGCAACGCGCAGAGGGGGATAGGGGGAGGGGGGAAGGCTTCTTAGAAGCAACCCTGCTTCTTAGAAGTCGCGGGCCTTCTCTATAGACGTAAGGCCGAGGCCTTCTAAGAAGCAGGGGTGCTTCTAAGAAGCCTTCCCCCCTCCCCCTAATTACCCCGTTTCTGCGCGCCGCCAACTTAACCAACCAGATTCAGAAACAAGATCTCGCTCCAGAGGGAGCGTCGCGTTCAGAAAAACGGTACCCAGCGTCGAGGCGAGAGAACCAGGAGCCGTTGGAAAACATCAATAATTATGTCTTAGAAACCTGTAGTCCATGCTGACGGCGGCGGCGACAATGGCAAAGATGACGACAAGAACAAAGACGGCGACGATGACGACGGTAGTTCCTCGACGGTTGTGGCGGCGACGACAATCACAAAGACAACGAAGATGACGATGACGAGGGCCAGAAATTGCGACAACAACGGCAACGTCGACGACAAAAACACGAAAACGACGGCGGTGGCGACGACCTCGAGGAACAGTTCCCCGACGTGGGCCTCGGCGTCGCCCTGGGTGTCCCCGACGTGGGCATCGGGGCCACCCCCGGGGGGCACCGAAGATCGCGAGCGCCCACGCCGTCCTCGCCGTCGCCGCCGCCGCCGCCGTCGCCGTTGTCGTCGTCGTCGTCGACGCCGTCGTCGGTGTCGTGTCTTCGTCGCCGTCGCCGCCGCCGCCGCCGTCGCCGTCGCCGTCGCCGCCGCCGCCGTCACCGTCGCCGTCGCCGTCGCCTCGGCGGCCCTCGGAGGCCTTCGGTGGCCTTCGGCGAGGCCTGCAGGGGCCCGCGGCAGCCCTCCGCGAGTTGTCGTCCTCGCTGCCGCCGCCGAAAGTGTTGCCCTTGCCGCTGCTGGCGGATTCGCCTCGAAACCCTTGTCAGATCGCACCCCAGGACCAGGGCGGGGGTACCCGCCGTCTTCGCCGTGGACTTCGCCGTCGTCGCCTCCGCCCGTCCCCTCGTCGCCATGGATGGATCCGCCTTGAATTCCCCGTCTGAACGCCCCACGAAGGTCCGAGGGGTCGCCGCCGTCCTCGTAGTGGCCGTCGCCGTCGCCGCCTCCGCCCGCCCGTCCTTTCCTCTGGCCCGGGCGTCGGGAGCAGATCCCCACGGGCACCTCTCGCACCACGTCCTTCCCCGCCGTCGTCGGATGCCGTTGGAAGATCCCCACGGCGCTCCGCGCACCAAGTCAGTCTGATCACCGTATCGAGCCCATCTGGAATGGCACAGCGCCGCAGGCAGGCGGGGTCGGGAGTTCCTGTCGTATTGTCCCCATATCCTAAGATGGGGTTTTTGATGCTACTCACACGCTTCCGGACCTCCTCCCCCTCACACATCTCACACCCTTCTCCTTTTCCCTAGAGTCACCCACTCATGTTCAGACTCCCTCATGTTCAGACTCACTCGCACTCAGGTTCGCTCGTACTCAGACTCGCTCACATTCAGATTCGCTCAAAACGCATTCACATTCAATGCCAACCGCAACATAGCAGGTCCCAGGGGAAATTTCGAGACCGGTGGGAAGCCACGGTGTACCAGACCTACGGCGTCTTGGGTCTGGGCCCTCCTCCTCCCCCCTCCTCCTCCTCCTCCTCCTCCTCCTCCTCCTTCTCCTCCTCCTTGTCCTGCTCCTCTTTCTCCTCCTCCTACCCCGCCTCTTCTTCGTCATCGTCATCACCATATATCACCATCATCATCGTTATCTTCATCCGTAGCGGTTTTGGCTCAAGATGCCCGGTGTCCACGGATAGGGAATGGACGCCGCTGGTCCGTGGTCAGCTTCCAAAAAGAGTTCCACATCCAAGTCATGGTTCGCCCCAAGACTTCCATTCCCAAGCCCTGGTCCGCCCCAGACACTTCCGTACTCAAAACCTGGTCCGCCCCATGCATGGTCATTCGCGTGCATCCTGCTTGTACACCTGGCAGCAGCGGTCGGCTCGGGAGGTTTCCCGAGCGTAGCGTACTACAGTGATCCCTGCAGCCAGCCCCCGGCACGATGTCCTCTTCGAGCTCGCCTTCCCGTTCCAGAGGAAAGGGCTGAGAATCTCGCAGCGGAAGCCACAGCGGAGAGACGGTGCACGCCGCAGCGCTGCCCGGCAAGCCAGACGACGAGATCGCCGTGAACAGCAGCACCGTGAGCGAAATGCACCCCTTGCAGACGAGCAGGCAGGAGGCAAAGTCACGCCTCCACCATCTAGCCGTACCGCATCAAGCACCCGACCCGCGTTTAGAGTTGGAACACGTGCCGCCCCCGCCGAAAATGGAGGCTTCCATTTCCTCCTGCCAGCAACCCATGAAGAGGGCGAATGTGTTGCAATTGCCCCATGGATCAGGAATTGCAGAACTCCCGGGCATCCGGGCTCGAGCTGTTCCCTACGTTTCCGTCACAAGAAGTTCGAGCAGCACCTGCGGGCTCTGGAGCACTTCCACAGCGCCGTGGATCGGCCGCTCCTGGTCCACCTCCATCTCGTCCGTCACGGCCATGTGGCCCACACCCACCTGGCCCCTGAGACCCTCCGCCTCCTCGACCACGATCACCAGCGGGCGCACTTCTTGAAGATCTCACCAAGGCCACTGGCGGCATCGGCAAGAATCAGTTCACCCTCGCCTCGCAGCATCAGCAACCTCTTCGACTCGACCTGGGCCAACGTGCGAACCTACCTGTGCGCCGCTATCGAGCAATACTACCAACCTCAGCAAGCCAGACTCGAAGCTGCTGAACGTGACCTGCAAGCCCAGCTCGACACCTCTCACGGCCAGGATAGTCTTCCATCGGCGCAGGGCGACGCGCGGGGATGCCACGACCTGGGGGAGCTCTCATTCTCGATCGATTTGGGCAGATGGTGCACTGAGATACTGGAAGGCGCCCCCGCCTGGCCATCGCTTTTCGAGATTGCCGACCCCGGCGGCACCAGCGCTGGCACTTGAATATAGGGCGACACCTCAGCAAGTGCCCCCCCCTGGTCTCCGGCGAAACGAAGATAAGGCCGGAACGCGACTCGCGCGCCATGGGCATCGAGGGCCACCTCGCCCCTCAGACGAACCCCATTGGCCAAGCAGTACATCCAGGACTTCGAGGCCAGGAGCCCTCCAGCGCCGGCCCTGCACGGGCCGCCGCGCGAATTGGGCGCGCGCCGCGCTGCCTGGACACGCCGCCGACGCTGGAACGCCCCCCCCCCCCCCCCCCCCCCCATCGACCGGACCAGCTGCTGAAGCCGAGCGCGACATGCGAAGGAAACGACGGCGGCCCATAGGAGGAGGCCAGGCAGACCACTACACGCGCGGCCGCGCGTAGCATACTTATAAGCATGCGCAGCCATAAGTAAAAATCACATACCAATCGAATCGATGTAATTGACAGGCTTGCGATCCGATTTATACTTGTTGGCGCACCTGGTTCTATCCAGTTGTTAACCACATAGCGCGGCGAAAGGTTAAATTAGGTTTGGTTAATCATTTCGGCTCTGGATTCTTGTCAACACTTAGCCGTGGATAGCTTCACTTAGCTTTAGACGGCTTTGCGGTTACTCTCATTTAGTACTGCGCGGGTTCCCCGCCGTAGCGGCGAGCCCCTGGGATCAGGGGCGGGGCGCGGGGGCGGGGGGCGCGGGCGGGCAAGACGGCTGCAACGGGGGCAGGGGCGGCTGCAACGGGGGCAGGGAAAAGGGGAAGGGAGTGGAATTGAGAGAAATCTGGCAGGCCAGGCGTTCTTCCAACCTCCTCGGTTACATCCACGCCGCGGCCTTCGTCGGAAACCTGGGCCCAAAAAGCGGCGAACGGTTCATTTAGCGCGGGGGGCAGGGCGATAGACGAGCGATAGACGAGCGATAGACCGCTCGTCTATCGCTCCATCGCTCGTCTATCGCTCGCATATCGCTCGCCCATGGCTCGTCTGTCGCTCGTCCACGGGCACGCCTCGCGACACCTTGCCCCCGCGAAGACTAGACCGCGGGGGAAAGGAGGAGGGGGGCGCGGGAGGCACGGGCGTCTGCAACGGGGGCAGGGAAAGGAGGAGGGGGACGCCGGGGGCATAGACGGCTGCAACGGGGGCAGGGAAAGGGTGAAAGGAGGGGGGGCAACCCAAGACATGTCCAAGACGGCTCCCCGAGATGGCCCCACGCAGGGCCGCATCGGTTCAAGGCGTCGGCGCAACGCCGCCGACGCGAAGGGTTCACATTCACTTAGGTTTGGTTAGTTCCACTTAGGTTTGGTTAGCTTCAGTTAGGTTCACTTGTGTTTTCGGCCAGGAAAGTGATCTTACAGTTACGTTCAGTTGCGCTGACTTAACCAAGCGGTTGTGAATTAATTAGCCGAGTTCAGAGCGATACGGTTCCGATGAATTTTAAGCATGGTTTCCAGTCTGCTATCTGATCCCGCGCGCGAAGCAGGGCCTTCGATCAGCTCGGAGTCGACGCACAGGGGGCCCCGGGGCAAGGCAAGGGCAGGGCCCCGGCGGCCTTGCTGGCGGCGCCCGTGAAGCTCGCCCCCGCCGGCGCTCGAGATGTGGCAGAGGTGAGTGGCGTTTGCAACGCGTCCTAATTGCATGGCGGCCGCAGGCGCGCCTATCGTCGAGGCACTGCAGGAAGCAGGTCGCGCGCGCGCGCCAGAGCTGCGAGGATCTGGGCAAGGGCCGCCAGGACGGGCCCCCGCGACAGATCTTCGCGGCGCCCACGCGCGAGGCGGCGACGGATTCGACCGCCGCCCCAGAAGGAGCTAAGAAGTGCCCGGCTTCACCCGCTGGGAAGGGGTGGCGACGGGGCCAGACGCGTTGATTCTGCTCCAACAACATTACAGGCATGCCCACATCAGGGGCTGCTGGTTCGACGAGGAGATCTCGAGCATCGCGACGCGCGACAAGTGCAACTTCCAGATCATGCTCGGAGTTCCCCGGCTGAGCGCCACCATCGAGAGCGCAGGCGCGGCCCTCATGGAGGCCATCTGCGCGGCCATCGCAGCAGGGGGCAAGGGGGGGATTCAGCGCCTGCCGGGAGCTTCGCCCAGAGCGGGTTGCTGCGCAAGGCAGGCCGCAAAGCTGCCGACGCAGCCCGGCCCCAAGGACCATGTGGACGCAGACGAGCGAATGAGAGGCTGCCGCGCGCCCGGCCGACCTGCGCGTCCAGGGCGGGCCCCGGGGCCCCCCGCCGTTCGCCCTTCAGGCGCAGACCTCCTCTCCGATCCCCCAGCCGGGGTCGTCGCGGACCTCCGATGTCTGCGTCGCCCCTCGCCGCGGCCCCCGCCGGGTTTGCGCCCGCGCGCTTTTTTGGTCGACGTTCGCCTCTGGCCCATCCAGCGGCGGAGCGCTCCGTCTCTTGCAACGCAGGTTGGTCGCGTCGCGGATCTCGCGAGCGCCGTCGAGGGCCGCGGCCCCGCCTTCGTCTCCGTCTGGGCGCCCCCTGGGCACCTCGGCATCCACAAGCGTCGACGGCCTCGGCTGCGCGCGCAAACTGAGCGGCTACGCGGCCCTCAGGGCCGCGAAGCTTTTGATCGCATTGTGAAATATTTCTTCAAGGAGCCGGAATGCGCCGAGTCGGCCACGGCCCACGG